TTGTGAATTGAGTGCACTTAAGTTACAGAGAGAAAAGTCACTCCTTGAAACGGTAGATATAATTCTTGCAGTAGCCAGTTTCTGCGTGAAGGTGAGAGTTCCAAGATGTGCAATTTCTTTTTTATCTACAATCTCAACTGTTATTGTTTGTCTTAAATTATTGCAGATCTTAGTGGTTGGGCATTTCCCAGGAAGACAATCACCACTGGCAAAGTCAAATTTGTTCTGTGTATGTGCAGATGTTTGTTTTACTGCAGAATTTGTGCAGTCTGGGGTATATCGTTGTGTAATTTCACCTCAAGCCCCTGGACTGGTAAATCTATATTTGAGTTTGGACGGTAACACACCGATTAGTCAAGTCATGACCTTTGAGTTTCGAGCTCCTTCAGCACATAAGTGGACAGATCCTCTGGAGGACCAGTCTAATTGGGATGAATTTAGAGTTCAAATGAGACTAGCTCATTTGCTCTTCTCTACATCTAAGAGCCTAAGCATTTTTTCCAGTAAAGTACACCAAAATTCTCTGAAAGATGCAAAGAAATTTGTTCGAAAGTGTGCGTACATTACTAATAATTGGGCATATTTGATCAAATCAATTGAAGGTAGGAAAGTCCCTTCCATGCATGCAAAAGACTGCTTATTTGAGCTGTCTTTGCAAACTAAATTTCATGAATGGCTATTGGAAAGAGTTATTGAAGGGTGTAAGACCTCAGAGCGGGATGAGCAAGGTCAAGGAGTTATCCATTTGTGTGCTATCCTAGGTTATACTTGGGCTATATATCCATTTACCTGGTCAGGCTTATCAGTGGATTACCGGGACAAGCATGGTTGGACAGCTCTTCATTGGGCTGCGCACTATGGAAGGTAATCCTCAGTGCAGCTGAGGAATTTTGAGATTGTTATTATTTCATTGTTTAAAATAGTGTTTTTTTAAAGGCAACAGTTAGTCGCTTAAAGCGATGAAGTGATGTGAAGTGTGTGGTTACTGCTTCACAAGTGAAGCCATGTGCTCAACAGAAATGTGCACTTCAAACATTAACGCCCAAAGTGATACAACAGAAAAGCGGCAGTTCTTTCATCCTCAAACTTTGAGGAGTTGGATTTATATTGGCTTTACTATATATTGGATTTTGAAATTAGTTATTTTACTGCAATTTAATGTTTCAGATTGTCTGATTTCCATAACTTACACTTTACTATTGAAAAAGCATGTGATTACTTGCTTTTGCTTCAAAACCCATGGAGGTTGTCACTTTTTTTTTGCACTTTCACTTTTAACAACACTGGTTCAAAAAAATCATGGAGCTTCTTCTGATTTGAGTATATTTTTTGCTGCTGTCCACCAAATGTCTGAACTGCATGACCCCCATTCCTCCTTCCTTCCCCCCTCCCTCAACCAGAAAAAGGATTTTTTTTTAAAAAGGAAATGAAGACATAACTAGGACAAATTTATTTTTGAATATTTTAGAATTTTTCCAGCATATTGGTTGCTTATTATTGGGAGTTCGGATTATCAGGGAGAAAATGGTTGCGACCCTTCTATCTGCTGGTGCAAACCCCAATTTGGTCACAGACCCCAATTCAGAGAACCCTGATGGATACACTGCTGCTGATCTTGCATCTAAAAATGGTTTCGACGGTTTGGGGGCGTATCTTGCGGAGAAGGCTTTAGTTGCACACTTTGAGGCTATGACCTTGGCTGGAAATGTTAGTGGTTCACTGCAGACCACTACTGAACCTATAAACCCTGAAAACTTCACAGAGGAGGAGCTGTATCTAAAAGATACTTTGGCAGCTTATCGTACTGCTGCTGATGCTGCTGCACGTATACAGGCTGCATTCAGAGAACAGTCATTCAAACTACAGACCAAAGCTGTTGAGTCTGTAAATCAAGAGACAGAAGCACGTAATATAATTGCTGCTATGAAGATTCAGCATGCTTTCCGCAATTATGAGTCGCGTAAAAAATTGGCTGCTGCTGCACGAATCCAATATAGGTTCCGAACTTGGAAAATGCGGAAAGATTTTCTTGCCATGCGACGTCATGCGATTAAAATTCAAGTAAGTTGCCCTTTATCATAAGTTTAACTGAATAGTTAGAGCCATCTCTTCCATCAAAATATCTGAAAGTTTAAACTGTTTCTTGTCTGGTTGGTCCAAGTTAGTACTGTGTTTCATTTTCCCTTGATTTTCAAGTGATATGCTCACTAAGATGAGGTGCGCATTATGCTCATGAATTGGCAAAACAGATTATACCTTGTTGTCTCCACATTAATTTCCTCAAATCCTAAAATATTGCCACACCCGTGTCGGATCCTTCAAAGATACACTATTGATGGAGGATCCAACACGCACCTGTCGACATTTTTGAAGAGTCCGAGCAACTTAGCTGTAGATTCTTTTTTTTGGGGGTGGGGGGGGTGGGTGGATGGATAAGGTAACTACTTATAGTAAGCAGATGGGACAGATTGAAATAGTGAAATCGACTCTGGTTTATGCAGGCCGTATTCCGTGGTTACAAAGAACGGAAGCAGTATCGCAAGATAGTTTGGTCTGTTGGGGTGCTTGAAAAGGCAGTCTTGCGATGGCGTTTGAAGAGGAAAGGCTTTCGTGGTCTTCAGGTTCAATCTAGTGAATCAGTGGATATCAAACCTGATGGTGAGGTGGAAGACTTCTTTCGAGCCAGTAGGAAACAAGCTGAAGAGCGTGTTGAAAGGTCTGTTGTACGAGTTCAGGCCATGTTTCGTTCAAAGCGAGCACAAGAAGAATATAGTAGGATGAAGATGGCACACAATAATGCTTCGGTAAGGAAGCCCTTTTTTTCTGTTATCTTTAAGGAAGTTCTTTTTTTGCTGTTATCTTTTTTCGATTGATGAATTGGGGAGACAGATTTCAAGATGTTATTCATCACTTGACATTCACCATATTTGCTATTTTGCAGCTGGAATACAAAAGGCTTATCAATCCTGATAACTAGATGGGTTAAGAAGATGAGGAACAAGTACTTCCCTGAAATATTTGGAGCTACAGCAGTAACCCAGGCCAACAACCACCCTCCAAAAAGCATTGTGATATTGCCCCTGTCCCCTCCCACAGACGTGATCCTATAGAACGAAAGAGTTGCCTGGTTGAAGCTACTGAAAAAAATAGGTTATGTGTGCTTATTGTGCAAATCAGTTTGTACATTGGTAGAGATGTTGTAAATTGGTAGATTGTGTTATCATCGCAGCTTCGACCCTCCAAATGTTTTAGAAAAGTGTGGGTTGGCACTCACAGTTTGACATGTTGTACCTGTTGTGGGAGGTTAAGTGTGGTCTCCGCGAGTGTCTTGCCTGACTAAGATGTCAAATATTTGCAGTACTGATTTCATGATATGTAATGATTATATGCTTTGGCTAGACTATCCTATTATCAAATGGGGGGCATGGACCATATAATCGAGCCCATGTAAGTATCACAAACGCTTCAATGATAGTCATGAACAATGATTTTGGATTCAATGGCACAATAAGTAGTTGATCTCGGATGCCTTGAATCTTTTAATGGCGTTTTTATATAGGGTAAATATATAAAACTAATATTATTCTTGGTATAAACATTATCAACTTTTTACCTAGATTAGCATGAATAGCAGATTTAAGGAAAAGTGAGTCCCTTATTTTGTCTTTTTTCATGGGATAGCCAATTTCAATCTCATAACCTCATTTTTTTAGAAATTTCTATTCCTCCTTAGATTATTCACATTTGAAATTACTTTTTCTACCATTGAAGTCTATATTTTAGTTTTTAGTCTCCATATTTTGTAGATTGTTTACACAAAAAAAAGTTATGCAACAATGCCGAAGGCACCAATTATAACAAGGAAGAGAAATGTATATTTGGTGTATCTCATTGTATATCTGCTGAATGTTTATTTTATGCCTACAAATAAAATTCACACGACATTCAAATACATGCAAGTTTATAGACTGGTTTATCAGGAAAATGGTATAGATGATTGTATAAAGTCAAGAACATTTATCTTAACTTGTTAGATTTAGTTATTAACAAATAAGTATGTTGGAAAAGATAAATAAAAACGAGATAAAGATAGTATTGTGAGTAAAGGAAAACCGCATGGAGCTTTAGAGCCACGATGATGGACGTTTGCATTAGATTTGATGTTTGTCCGAGTATTCTAAGCTCCAATCCCCGAGAATTATACATTACATCTTCGATTCCTAATTATTTGTTCACTTTTTCTTTTATATTTGTCTGTAATTTTTTGTCCATCTTGACAAATAAAAAAAAGACAATTTATTTTTATATATTATACCCTCAATTAATTACTTAAAAAAAATATAACTTCTTGAAAATCTTAAATTTTTTTAATTCATCCTTTTCATGATTAATAGGGTCGAAATTCAAAAATAAAAAAAATAATTAGGGATAGAGAAAGTAGTAAATAAATATTATAAGATTGAAAAATGAAAAGTTTGATATGTGGAAATGATTCATTCAGATCGACATGCCCCTTCAAAACTATTAAAATTTCCTATCGAGCTCTCATTGATTGAATCTTTAACTCTAAAGTTTCTTATATTTTAACTCAACATGAAATATTTCTAGTGTTAGAAATAGTCCAATTATGAAACCCGAGGTTGAAAATTCAAACTTAATTAACTTGGTCTATAGATTTAAAAATTCAATAAAAATGATTTGATTTGACATTTGAAAACCTCCGAACTAACTCGACCATGTACACCCTTAGTGAGAACAATTACGATTTGTGGGAAGAGAAGATAAGATGAAAGAGAAGACATAATCTAAAATCTCTAATTTTTTGAAAATTGTTTGGAGGTTGTATATGTTTGGTTATAAGACTGTTGCTAGTTCAGAAAATATGTTATTGTTGCATAGGATACGATTATTAGGTCCCCTAAGTAAAAGACTGGAGTGTTTCATTACTTGAAGGAAATTGAATTGAGTAAAAAGTTTACCCAAGAAATGAGCCATATATTGCAAGGATAAAGAACAAGGAGTGCCCTTCTTTCATTATTGTCCTTTCCCTGTACAAACTTTCTATCCGAAAAGAGTAAAGATAAAACTAGAAACAAGCTAGTGCAAAGCTGTAGCGTTTATCCAATACAATGTAACCTGACATGCTACTTTCCTGATTGGGAGAAGTTCTCTGTGTTCTTGCCCCCCTCGCAACCCAACCAACCGATTGGGATCACAGAAGAGGAACTTTGCCAACAAGTTCGTCATGGTTGACTCTCCTACTTGATGTATTGCGACATCCACTTGAAACCCTCACCATATCCCATCTTGCGCACAATGCTGCACATAAACACCTCAATTGGACGGACATTGGTACCAGCAAGGTTGATGTTACCCTTGCCAGTGGTCACACCAGTTAGGCCCAAGTGATAACGCAGCTCATCTTCTGAGGCAGCATATGGTATATCAATCTTGTTTCCCAAAATGAGAAATGGGACATTTGTTAACGACTCATCTGACAGAAGCCCATCCAATTCCTTCTTTGCCTCTGGAAACCTCTCTCTGTCATTTGCGTCCACAAGATAAACAACAGCGTCCACCTGCAAATAATAAAACCTGCTTGTCAAGCAGCAGTAGAGTATGGGCAACGCAAATTATGGAAGTAATTACAACAGACTTGCATAGCATTCATGTCAATACTGATTTCCCAAAAAAAACCATGATGTTAATGATGCACAACATTGAACCTGATTAAAGCCAAAATGTCACAACTTGGATTCCAAAACGACATGTCTACACAACTAGAAAGTATACACAATAACCCGTTTCGGAATGAGTAAACCAGCTGTTCTTAACCATATAAGTATTCACCTTGGCATAATAGTCTCTCCAGACTCTTCTAGCAATCTGGTGTCCCCCTAAATCAAAAGCCTTGAACTTGATATTCCCAATACTCAACTCCTCTGATGTGGGGTACTGTGTAGGTTGATGCTGCACCAATCTCTGCATCAATTTTAACATGAATGTAGTCAGCAAGCAATACAGCTCAGACTCTTTTAAGCAAAATAGTGATACCAATAAAAAATTCAATCAACTGGTTTCAATTACTCAACCTCGTAAGCATACAATACATTTACTGTCTCCATCAATAAACACCATGTACTTAAAACACATTATGCAAAATCAACTCCACATATGCACAAACATATTTATAATAGACTCCATTGGAAGCTAGTTGAGGTCAGCTATACCAATCTTTTGTATTCATCTCGTTCCAGGTGGTGTCCGGGACAGCTTTATTAGAATCTAGAAAATTAATATTAATTATCCAATAAATTTAATTAGTTGATACAATTTGATTTTCTGTTATGGTGAACTGATGAAATAATAGCCAGGCCAATGGCTGCTTCAATGGATGCAATTATAACAAAAAATGAGAAAATATCTCTTTTTAATTGACAATTATTAAAAAGTCAGAAAATATTACATAATTTATATTATCCGCATTCAATATAAGTTCAAGCCTCCAACTAATTCCAATTTCCACAGGATAACTCTGTCCATCAAGGCGCACAAACGAGAAGAATCACCTAGTGCATTTGATTCTAATGCTAGTAATCATCGACTGTTTAGGAATAATTCAGGTTCTATAATTTTTTTTTAAAATTCATTAGTTTAGTCGCTAATCAGGATTTTGAGAAACACGTACCTGATGTAACAGCTAAGCTTAGTATCACCTAAAAGGTCATCTATAGGTAAGATGTTTCTCAGTTCTTCATTGAATTTAGACTTTAAAAAAAGGAATGAGAGAAACAAAACAAACCTCATCTTTCAACATATGAAGCAAGGTAGTTTTGCCAGCATTATCAAGCCCTAAAAACAAGATCTTCGCATCCTTCTGCCACAACCCTAGTGATGCCAACACTCCATAGAACCAATCCACCAGAAACATGATTTCTTCCTTATAATTGATCAACACCACACACAAAACACCTCTGTAAAATCACCAGAAAAAGAAGATTGAAACAACAGAAAGAAAAAAGCGTTCAAAGTTTTCAATTTCTCTCTAATAGTTTTCACTTTTCAGTGGTGAAATGAGGGGGGAAAACTATTTATAGTGGCGGATGAAGTTAACTGGTTAATGGCGGAACCAGTTGCATATGAAGATAAAGTGTTGGAGTGTGTGAGTAAGATGGTGACTGGAATTAGCCGGTCACGTCTTGTTGCTGACCTGGAGAGAGGTTATTGGGTATTGCGCGTCATCACAAGAGCGCTACCCATCACTATTGGGATCTCCACGTCATTTCAAGTGTCTTTTGACCCTTACAGCCCAATATTGATTCATAAGTTTATTATTTTTAAAACAAAAAAATAAATTATATATAGTTATGTGATAATAAATTATTTCATTAGGTATAAAATTAATATTTCATGAATGTTATTGTTATTAATAAAATTTTAAATAGTATTTGATTAATGATTTCAATATTTTCTCTATTTAAAATTATGTAGTTTTGAATTGTATTTGATTATACATCTTTACAAAAATAATATTAATAATATTCATATTTGAATGTCCTTTAATTTTAATTATGTAAGATTAAAATTGAAGGATATTATCCGAAATTGCTCCATTTCAAAGTAATTTCAAAAATTATCTATTTGCTTCAAAAGATATATATCCGAGATATATCTTGACAAGAAAAATAACTTCTAATTCTTTTTCTACGACATGAAAATTAATTGCAATGTCATATTTTAAAGAGAAAAGGTTAAAAAATAATTCTCAACTTTGGTTTTTTATTAGTTAAAACCTTATTTTTACCGTTAAGATCAAGTTGTTGTCTTTAATAAACTTATCATCTATACCTAGGGCTGTTAACATGGGCTATGCTCGTTGGGCATGTCAGGCCTAACTCGGAATTGAATAGTGTTGGCTAAAATTTTTGGACCTCATTTAAGAAAAGAACTTTTTAGTTCGGCCTGAATAAGTATGCTGATTTGTGGGACTTGATAAATATTGGTAGGGTCAGCCCGTGGGCCAATAAAAACTAATGAAAAAATATAGGGAAAAATTACTAAACTACACTACTTTAATTTATTTAATTTCATTAATTCCCTAATGTATTAAATTGCAAAAATCTCTTTTTTATCCCAAATGATACTAATTAAATTTTATACATTGGAATATTAAGAAGTTAGTTTAACCTTACCAAGGTAAAACAGAACGTACCTTCCCAACATCCGATTCCTTTCCCCAAAAAATCACCTTCCCCAAAATTACCGTATTTCCCAAGATTTTCGCCTTCCCCCAAAAGCTACTCTCAAAATTTCCCCCCTAATTTTAGTTAAAAATTGTAAATCAAATTTGAAATTCAATACTCTTCTGAATTTGAGTCCTAAATCAGGTATATCATCATCTTTATTACTATTTTTTAATTTTCCCCCTTTTTTTGTATTTTCTGTGATGGTATATCATCATCCACATTGATATTTTTCAATTTTTTTTCCGTTTTTTTATATTTTCTGTGGTTATTGTTCAAAATTTTTTATTGTTGATCTTCATAATCAAATTCTATGTAGATCTGGATTCTTTATAGTTGCATCAAACTATGGTCATGAAAAAACCAAGCTCTAGCAAAAAAATTCTTAAAAAAACAAACATGCATCTACATCTAAAGACACGAAAACTCCAAAAAAGAGGAGTAGAAAGGCGACACCTCCTATTGTTCGACCAACATTACAAACGGTATGTAAATTTGTTTCCCATGTACATCATTATTTTCAAGTTGTTTCTTTAGTATTTTGATTCTGATTGTTAAGTATCGTTTATATTGTATATGTAATTTTTTTTAGTTAGTTTGATAAATTAGTATTAGTCTGATGAACTGTTTTAGTCTTATGAATTGTAATATTCAGTGAATTTGAAAAGAAAAAAAACTACATGATTCTTCCATCGAATCTTTCTTGCCTAAAGTGGTTGATGAGAACACAAAAATTGAATTTGTTTTTATTTTGGTACAATATTCTGAGGATTGATATGAGGCTTCACATGGATGAATTAAAATTTGTTTTAGTGAATTGTATTATTCACTGAATTAAAAAAGAAAAAAAACTACATGATTCTTCCATCGAATCTTTCTCGCCTAAAGTGGTTGATGAGAACACAAAAATTGAATTTGTTTTGATTTTGGTACAATATTTTGAGGATTGATATGAGGCTCACATAGATGAATTAAAATTTGTTTTAGTTTGCTCAAATTATTGATAGAATTGATGATATTAGTGTGCTAGTAGAAAAATCCTAAACAATGATCGATCTCAAGTCATCGAGATGAATAAACCATCTTTCAAATCAACCAAGTCATTTCAAACAAGATAAACTTATCTATGTAATCGACAATTGTAAATCTATGAAGTCAAACACATCAATTTTCATCATCTAAAAACTACAGTTTTTATTATGATATCATTGCATTCATAAACCATAAACCGAGTACATTCACAAATCACATAGAAAGCAGTTAAAGACAAGATATTGATACACAGAGATAGGGATATATCTATAGCAGAAAACACTATAGATATGAAAATGTTAGGTGAAATAGTAAATCAATCTTATCATGATTTTTGTATATATTTGTTAGTATGTTCAATTATTTTTATGAAGTATCATTTTTTTGGTGCTCATGTTAGAATGATTCTTTGTTTTATTTTTACTTATATTTAGGTATCAAATAATAGTATATGTGTATCATACTGTCATACATCTGTTATTTAAGTATCATATTTATATGAATTATTGATAAGTATATAAAAATTTAAGTATCAAATTTAAATTGTGAATTTGAGTATCTTTTTATGTGTTGGACATGAAATTTAATGTATCAAAGAGACATATTTAAATTTAATATTTAGTTTATACATAGATTCAAATAGTATTTTGTAAGTATCATGTTAACCTGTTTATTTATATTTAGTATCAGATGAATTGTATTAAGTATCATTTTAATCTTATCATGATTTTTGAATATATTTGTTAGTCTGTTCAATTAATTTTATTAAGTATCATTTTTTGGTGCTAAAATTTAAGTATCAAATTTAAATTGTGAAATTGAGTATCTTTTTATGTGTTGGACATGAAATTTAATGTATCAAAGAAACATATTTAAATTTAATATTTCGTTTATATATAGATTCAAATAGTATTTTGTAAGTATCATGTTGATAGAATGATTCTTTGTTTTATTTTTATTTTTATTTCGTATATATTAAGGTATCAAATAATAGTATATGTGTATCATACTGTCATACATCTGTTATTTAAGTATCATATTTATATGAATTATTGATAAGTATATAAAAATTTAAGTATCTAATTTAAATTGTGAATTTGAGTATCTTTATATGCGTTAGACATGAAATTTAGTGTATCAAAGAAATATATTTAATTTTAATATTTCATTTATATATAGTTTCAAATAGTATTTTTGTAAGTATCATGTTGACCTGTTTATTTATATTTAGTATAAGATGAATTGTGTTAAGTATCGTTTTAATCTTATCATGATTTTTGAATAAATTTGTTAGTATGTTCAATTGATTTTATTAAGTACCATTTCTTTGGTGCTCATGATAGAATGATTTTTTATTTTATGTTTACTTATATTTCGTATATATTAAGGTATCAAATAATAGTATATGTGTATCATACTGTCATACATCTGTTATGTAAGTAACATATTTATATGAATTATTGATAAGTATATAAAAATTTAAGTATCTAATTTAAATTGTGTATTTGAGTATCTTTTTATGTGTTAAACATGAAATTTAATGTAGCAAAGAAATATACTTAAATTTAATATTTCGTTTATATATAGTTTCAAATAGTATTTTTTAAGTGTCATGTTAACCGTCTTATTTATACTTAGTATCAGCATTAGGCAATTTTTAGTATCATTTATAACATTAATATTATTATATGCGCTCAATAGTTTATAAACTTTTTTATATATGTTACAATTTGATAAAATTTTATTTGTTTTATTGCAGAATATGAATTACGTCATTAAACATATTCCAACTAATGCATTAAAGTTTGATCCAATATACGACACGAATTTTGTTGAACACTTAGTATCATCTATCAAGGTTGAAGGTATGAATTTATTCAAAGAAACAATTTTTGCACCATACCTAAATATCCCTAGATGCAATTACAAAGGCCAAATTACTAAGTGTTTATACTTGTTAGAGATTGAGCATGATAATTTTGATGAAGAGATTCACATTCTCCATGCCAAAGGGAATGTGTTGAAATTTAGTATCAGTGAATTTACAATTGTAACTGGTTTGAATTGTAAAGGTAATGTAAAAGACTTTACATATCCGGACTCAAAAATCGGTAGGTTAGTTGAAAGATATTTTCCTGATACTAAATATAATGTTAACAAACAAAGATTGGTAGACCGGTTTACGGTAGGTCAATGGGAAAATATTGAGAATGCCCTTCAGATGGCTATACTTTATTTTATCCATACATTTTTGTATTCCCAACCTGATAATACACCAATTCCTATTGAAGACTTCTATATAGTGGAAGAAGGTAGTTACCAATAGTTTCCTTGGGGTATAGTTGATTTTGAAAAGTTAATGAAATCTTTTCGAAAAAAGTACAAACCCTCCAAAAAATTGTATCGATTGAATGGATTTCCATATGCACTTAATATATGAATTTATGAATGTGCTTCTACGATAAACACCGATATTGCTGTCAAAGAAGTAAATGGTATACCGAAGATTTGCAACTGGCAAGTTGTTGGTTTGAAGCCCAAGTTTGAGTTTTTCATGGAAACAATTTTTTCAAAGGTAATTAATTCAATACAGCTTTCTTAATTAATTAGTTTTATTATGGAATACAACTTTAATATGTTTATTGTCTTTAATTAATTATTTTTTTGGATTGAATGTTCAGCCAACTCCTGAGAAAATATCACCTCTTGGGTTACCAGATATCAATTATGTACCTCCAAACCAATCACTTTCATCAATTCCAGATAATGATGA